AAAACAATCATTTCAGTGACCAAGGTACATGTAAGGTTAAGGAACAGAATTTGAAATTCAGGCCTATATACAGTATTACACACCCCTCTATATAAAATTCTGACAAGTACCCCACCGAAAAATTCAGAGACTGGCAGAGTGACTGACTATCCATTCTGTCCTGCTCGCTTCATTGGGATGTGCAAACTGCTTAACTTTTAGTAGTAGTCTTTCAGGACCTGATTTCAATCATTTGGTTGGAATGTATATTGCAAATAAATGTTTTCACAGTTTTTTTTCTCACCAAAACAGTTGTAAACTTTGTTGTTTTGAAAACAAGATTTAGAAGCCATTGAATTTTGTGATAAGACTTATCTGCAAGCCAATCTCCTAGGGATAGATTACTCCAGGGATGTCTTTTGCATTCCAGAGAATTTAAGAAATGAAATTCTATATTTTGATATTATTTTAAGCTTTCCTGTTGGGAAAAAGGCATTGATCAGTTCACTTTACAGAAATGCGATGTATCATTTCAACCATATGAAGTCATATTTATTTCCTACTCCTGCACTGTATCATTTGAAAAGGAGAAAGGTGTAAAGTCATTACCACGTTAAAAAGAGATTATTTTCATGACTACATTCTTGTCAAATTCCATTTAGAAGTGTCATGTCATTGTGTTGCAAGCTGTTGGCATTGTGGTCTCAAACATGAAATAAAGCTTAAGCTGTAGTGTCAGCTGATCAGATTTGAAGGGTGTAGGATTTCATGTGGTTTGTTCATAGATTTCATATTTCGTACAGCCCACAAAAGAATTTACATATTTCTGGGTATTTGTAATGGCGACTCTAGAGTGATTTTTTGTGCACATGTTTGCTAAGCTCTGAGCTACTGTGCAACATGAACTGGTACAGTTTGGTGCATTAGTTATCTAAAAATTGCCAATGACTTCAAGTGGAAAAGAACAGTCCAAATGGTGCTAATTTTGGGAGATTCTTTTGACATTGACCCACATGATAGAAATACTTTAATGTCATTTCTGAGAAGAAAACCCCGTCTTCAGTGTCTTTCACCCAGGACTATCAGCTACATTGTAAGTAAACTGCTTGAAATGTTATCATTGTTTGTGTGTGTTCTGAACTGCACTCTCTGATTTTAATCTTAGGAGTTTTCATTGTTTTGTAGACATTCACACATGCAATCTGCCCTCTACGTCGTGACCAGTTTAGAATACTCCTTATCCTTTCATTTCCTGCGGAACTTTAGCTACTAACGCATCTTAAGTGTTTCATTTCACCTGTACACAGCATCCTTTGTGGTTTATTAACATAAAATTGTGTATCTGTGTCTATTTATTTTTTTGCTATAGTATTTGGCAAAACAATTTGAAAGGTCAGTCATAAACCTGATCTATTGCCAGTTGATATTAATAGCTGTGTGACTCGAAATAAATGAGATGATAATGTGGCGCCAAAGCTTCCTGTGATTTTAAATCTTGATATTCAGTGTATATTTAACCATAGTATGACTTCATTAATTTGTTTATCTATTTATTTTGTAAGCTGCACTGTCTGTGCAGGGCTACGAAAGTTGGTTTGCTGATGACAAAAACACCCCTCAGTTCTGGTGACAAATTTTTATGAATGATTAGGGATGAAAAGCTTCATAGCTTCATGTCCACGTACATATACATATAATAGTTAAGGGAGATTTCCTTGCTTGCTGCTTCCAATTTTCCAGCTTACCTATAGAATTCAGGGCAGCTTTTTATTTGAGTAGAGTTTGGCAAAATGTCTAACTAGGAACTGTATTTAAGTAGGACTGCATGACACTTATGATCTTTGTTTCAAATCACTTCAAAAATGCACTCCGACATGAAACTACAAAGTGTAACACATTTCTTTAATCCCAAACAATGATAAAAATTTGCAATTGCATTTTTGCTTGTAAAAGCACTTGTTACAGTTGGCCTTCCCTCCATTTAGATCTCTCTAGACACAAGACGCTATGTCTTGATCTAGGAAGTGTTTATGAAATGTACAAGTTTCCAGCTTACCTGTAGAAGTCATTCCAAGCTAATGTGGTATAGCAGCAAACCTACAAATGTGTTGTCACTTTACTGTACACTTACTGATCTTCCAAATAATATTTTTGACCTTATGGTGTGGCTTTCATGTACCGCTTCTTTCAAAAGTCATGTTAGTTTAAATACGTACTTGTAGACTATGTTGACAAAATGATGTC